TAGGAGGCCGGAGCTTAGCTGATTATATATGTTGTATGCTGACATGACTGGATATTGTATGTTGTTTATGTTTTCTGTCCTTATATTGATATTTGAGTTGAGACTCTTTTGTGGACTTTGTTGCCTTATTTGGTGAGCATGAGGTTTGTCCATGCCACATTGATGTTAGTACTTTTAGCTTGAGTTGTATAAACTATCAGGGTTGTCTGATCTACGTGTGGTAGTTCCGTGACTAGAGACACATTTATAATATTTATATATTGAGGTATTTTAGTTAGCTGTCTTTTGCAATTTACATATAGGCGATGTTTTATGAAATGAATTAAGTAAGTCAACTTGGCTAATGATAATGACGTCATAATTGAAAAGAAAAAGATATTCCGCATTTTTAAATTAAACGTGACTTAATACGATGATATGATAACAAACCGGATATATACGGGGTGTTACACTTTACCTTTAACCCACTATTTGTTTTTGTCCTTTGAACTTTATTCCTTGGGCTAACTCTCTCTTTTAGCAAAGAATACTTGAAGTAGCAAGTAAATTCAATATAAAAATGCTGCAATAGTAAACAATAGTAGTTTAAATTAAATTAAGTTAAGTAAATTAAATAGTTAAGTTAGTAGCAAGTAAATTAAATAAGTGAAAAGAAAAATATCTCGATTCGATTTTCACATGTCACTTTTAGAAACAGTTTAAATATTTTTATTCCTGATCCGCACCACACTCTAAATCACACTCTAAATTAGTCCTGTAATCAATTCAAAAAATCAAAACTTGTCCGGATATCCAAAAAAATCAACTCGAGATATAATTAAGATTGGATTAATTAAAAAAAAAAATGCTACAGTAGCTTTTTTGTATTTCTCACCGTAGACTACCAGCAAGCCACAATTTTCTGAAAATGGTGCTCCACGTGTCACCATCAGTCTGAGGTGTCATGCTTTAGCTAATGAGGTTTTTATCGGGTCTTGTTTAGGAAGAAAGCTAGTAAAGGTCCAAAGCCATTTCCTCCCTTCATCCTAATCTTGCAATATTAAAAGCCTTAGAATCCATCCATACGTTTCATCAAGCTTGTCAAAGTCAAATTATAAAATCCCATGAAAGGTTGAGAGGACATGAAAACATGGTGTACATTATACCACTTTTAACGTTAGGAATGTTCTGTTTTTCTCTAGTGAACAAGAACAGGTAGAAGCAGATATAAAATATTGTACTTGGAAAGAGATGATGAAGCTCCCCATTCAGCAGTGTTGTGTCCAAAGTAAATCTATAAAATCTCAATCCTGAATCCCCAAGTCTTTCTTTCCCCATTTCCAATGTTTAGTTCTGATTACTTTGGTTATTTTGTGTTTCTTTTGATTTCTTGTTTCAGATAAAATCATTACTTACCCTGTGTTAAAAGAAGAGACAAAATGGCCCACCTCGTGCAAATACTGTTTATTGAAGCTTTTTTATATATCCGTACGTCCTGTACTCCTACTTAGAAGCATGCTTAAGTAGCTGGAGTATGCAACTTTTTTCTAACTCCGTATATCAGGAAAAAAAAATTAAAATCTTGTTTTTTTAATAAATTATTATTAATAAATTATTGTTTTGAACCTAATTACGAATACACTGTATTTATTCATTTCCAAATTGGAGATGATCATTCACGTAAGTTAGGCATGACTCACGGGCAAAAAAAATAAAATATTATTATTTTAATAAATAATTATGAATACATAATAGTTGTTTCGAAACTATTTACGGATTTATTGCACTCATTCAAGTCCAAATTAGGCGTGACTCATATGGTGTTGACACGTGGCACAAAAAAATCAACTTACGAACGGTAAAATTTTGAAAAGCCATGACTTTTGACTCGGGTATCCAAATCAGGTAAAAAAAAATTGATTCCACAAAATTTTTCGAGATCTACACAATGACACCTCATTTGACATATTTTATCTCTCACAAAAATAATTCAAATTTGCAATAATGATATTATAAGAGCATTTAAACATAAGTCTCTCAGTTCTGCATTTGTGATTTAATATAAAATAATAATAAAGATTTGATTTATGATTTAAATTAAAAAATCAATTTTTAATTTTTAATATAAAAAATAAATAAAGATTTGGTTTGTGATTTAAATTAAAAAATTATTATTAATAAAAAAATAAAATAATGATTTGATTTGTGATTTAAACTCAAAAACCAATTTGAAAGATCTCTATTATTAAAGAAAATAATTAAATAAATATTTTAAATCTTTAAGGAAGAAAAATTTTATTTTTGAAAATCATTCATAAGCTTCCAACGAATCCAGCCATAAAGACTCAGCATTTGCTTTGTATCACAGACTTTTTCAAACTTTAGATGGACTAATCTACTTTGGTGCCATCTTATACTACCATTATTGCAAATTTGAACTTTGTTTGTGAGAAATAAAATATATCTAATGAGATGTCATTGCGTAGATCTCGAAAAGTTATGTGGAATCAAAATAAGAATTACCTGATTTGAATACCCGAGTCAAAAGCTATGGCCTTATGAAGTTTTACGGTTAAACTATTAACTTTTTGTGCCATGTGTCAACACTAGACAATTCACGCCTAATTTTATTCACGCCTAATTTGGGCGTGAATAAGTGCAATTGATCTGTAAATAGATTCGAAACAACAACTTATTCGTAATTATTTATTAAAAATGCAATATTTAAATTTTTTTGCCGTGACTCACGCATTCACGCCTAATTTAGGCGTGACTCATCTGATGTTGACACGTGAAACAAAAAATTAACAGTTTAAACGTAAAACTTCAGAAGGCCATAACTTTTGACTCGAGTATCTGAATCAGGTAATTTTTTTTATTCCACGTAACTTTTCGAGATCTACGCAATGACATGTCATTTGACATATTTTATCTCTCACAAACACAATTCAAATTTGCAACAATAGTATTATACGAGTGTTTAAACCCAGATACCTCCGAGTTCTTTGCGAATCAACACCAAACAGAGTCTTCTGCCTACTAGAACCTCTCTATACTTATCCTATGGGTTGTATTCTTATCACTGTGAATAGGGACTTTATCATTTAAGTCGCGGTCTGAAATTAAAGATGGCACCAAAGTGGATTAGTCCATCTATAAATAAGGATACTTAATGTCATATTAAAATATATACTCTGCCAAGTGTTTGAAAAAAAAATAGTGTACAAGGTTATTGAATCGCAATACATATCGTGTATCGTTTGGCCGATTTTTCATATCGTGAATCATATCGAATCGTAAGATACAGAAATATAATAAAAAATAATTTAAGAATAATATTGTAAGTTACATCCTTCTGTTTTACTTTTTTTCTTTAAAGCCATTTAAATTATGTATGCCTAAGAGAGAAAAAAGTAAATACATTTAAAAAAAATAAAAAAAGACTAATAGGTATAAGAAAAGAAAACTAAACCTGAAATCGAGTCCTGAACTCTGAAGTTCGGAAACGTCTCTTATACGAAACAATGCCATGTCTTTATGGATGGATTCGTTGGAAGCTTATAGCCTCTGAATGGTTTTCAAAAATAAAATACTTCTTCCTTAGAGATTTAGAATATTTATTTAATTATTTTCTTTATTAATACACATTTTTCAAATTGATTTTTAAGTTTAAATCACAAATCAAATCTTTATTTTGTTTTCCTTATTAATAATATTTTTTAAAATTTTTTGAATTTAAATTACAAACCAAATCTTTATTTATTTTTTTATATTGAATCACAAACTCAGAACTCAGAGGCTTCTAGGTTTAAATGCTCTTATAATATTATTATTGCAAATTTGAACTGTGTTTGTAAGAGATAAAATATGTCAAATAAAGTGTCATTCCGTAAATCTCAAAAAAAATTGTGAAATCAAAAAAATATTACCTGATTTGGATACCTGAGTTAAAAGTTATGGCTTTTCAAAGTTTCACGGTTCATAAGTTGATTTTTTTGTGCCACGTGTCAACATCAAACGAGTCACGTCTAAATTAGACGTGAATGCCTTGTAAGTCACGTCTAACTTCACGCGTAATTTGGACGTAAATGAGTGTAATAGATTCATAAATAGTTTTAAAACAACTATATATTCATAATTATTTTTTAAAATAATAATATTTAATTTTTTTGCCCTCATGCATGTTGTAAATTCAAACCAGGGAATCTTGGAGTTTTATAGAAATGGATTCTCATATCTGACATCAGGCAATCTCGTATAATCTTAGCATTCCAAATACAAACTAATTATGTGGTCCCTTAACAAGTATAGCTAAAGCAACAGCTAAAGTAGGGAGGAATTGCTTATTCGAAAGGGAACAATCTAATGATTAAGGATTAAAGACTCTATTTAATACAAAATGGATTTTAATCTCATTGCAAGTGGATAGATTGATCATAAAAGGAGGATGAATTACGCCTATTGCATGATTCGAGTTTTTATAAATTTGAGGGGGAAAGAAAGAAAAAGGTTTGCCTAGATGGAGAGAAGCTTTCAGATAAACTATTATATTTCACGCTAATTTGTCTTGTGGGGGAGGGTTGGACATGGAGGGAATTTAAATTAAATAGGGGTAATGTGAATATTCAGCTTGTTTTGAATCTTCATGATCAGGATAAGAGTGTTAGTAAAGGTGAAAAAAATAGAAAATAAAAAAGGATAACAGAGAAAAAGAGAAAAATATGTACATGAACGATTCTTTTGAACAAAGAGGAAAACGTTCAACAAGCCACTTTATTTTTTATAATGGTTCTCTTTGCGCAGACAAGATTTAAACCGTCCTTTAAATAAAATAAAATGAAAATGCAAGTTCAGGTGTAGAAGCGCACGTGTTTTCCTCTCCACCTTGCACTAATTAATCACCAATCTCTTGAATAAGTTCCAACTGATACAGCAAAGCCAACTCTTATTTCCAATTTGATTAAAATATTGAACTTGCTTCATTAAAAATACCTTAAAGTTTTAAAATATTGAAATTGCTTCATTAGAAACCTACATTTTGAAGACCAGCATAACACATTTTTTGTATTTAGAGACAAAATATGCTTCTCTAGAAACTTAACAACAGAAGCTATAAATCAAAATAATTTTAAGACAAGTTATAATATAGAGGGGGAAAAACGAAAAGACTAAAAGGATGAACAATGGGCTAATTCTTCCGAGATTCACCCCTAAGGGATTGCCAAAAAACAGGCCAATTCTTTTGGGCTTCATTCCAACCCAAAAGGGACCCTTCTCTCAGTGGGTCCCAACTGGAGGACACGATCCCATAACTCACTCCCAAGAGAGCAGACCCAAAGAAGAAGAAGGACACAATGAAGGGCACCCAAGTGGGCACATCAATTTTCAAACCAACCTTAAGGTAGTAAAAGAATGGGAAGAACAAAAGCCCAATACCTAGTGGAATCCCCACGGAGAATCCCATTCTGCTTATCATCCTGTTGGTCACTACTTCCGGAATAACTCCTCGATCAACCTCTTCTTCCTCTTCCTCTTCTTCTTCTTCATCTTCTTCTTGTTTATCTTCTGCATAATCCTTTCTCAGCTTCTTAGTCTTCTTCATTTTCTTTGGGGAAGGTCCAAACCCCTTGGGGCCCTTCAAGGTTGCATGTATAGGTGCAAGGTGTGAGAAGTGAATCCGATGATGAAATTCTGATTTATGAATTGGGAACTGAGACTTCACATTTCCATTGAAATAAGTCCATATATTATTCCTAACTCGCTGCAGTAAATAATTTCGAAATTAGAATCGCAGACAGAAAATCAGACAAGACAATTCTACAGTTATGAAGCAGAATTTAAGTCCTGTGTAGTACTATTACAAGACACGGGGTTAGAGAAAGAGAGAGAACCGTGTGAAGAAATTGTGGATTGAAAAATGTGCTTGCAGTTACGGCCATTACGTTATGTTGATGGTGTTGATGGCTCAATCAGACATGATAGTTGAGGCTGTTTTTGAGTAAGAGAAAGGAGCAACTTAGGACTTGCGACTTAAGACATAGGAGTGAGATGATGCTAAGAGCTGTTCCAAAAGATAAGGTTGTAAAAGGATATCTACCTTCCCCACCATTCCTGTGCTGCATTTTGCTATCTTTAAACGGCGACGTATTGTGCTTAAGTTTAGAAAATGGCATAAACGGCGACGTATTTTGCTATCTTTAGAGGGAGACGTATTTTTCTACACATATATCGATATTTGTGCTGCATTTTTTTTTTTTTAATATATGGTGAACTCCACACTTATTGTCTCTATAGCATTACAAGAGAATTGTCAACATGATTCTTATTTTTCCTTTTTTTTTTTTTAAATATGAAATATGAAAACTTTCTTATTTATATAAAATTACATATTCAAGTTCAAATACTTATTATATTATTCTCGAGGTCTATGGAATATGGATCATTTGCATATGATAAAGGCCTAATACTTTGTACAATAAATTAGTGTATTTAAATATTTTAAAAAATATTCATAAATTATATATTTAACTTTATTTGAGTTTAATATAAATTTTAGAAACGGAGGAATTAAATACATAATCGCACTAAAAATAAATACATATAAATAAAATTATATAAATACCGTTACTTTTGAAAAAACATCAAAGGACGGTGGGGAAACTACAATTATCCTCTAAGAAACTTTTTAAATGTATAATTACCGTAAAACATGAATAGACAACAGGAAGTGCTAAATTGCTAATAACTTTAAGGGAAAAATTACTTTTTCAGGCACAGAAGAGTAGTCCATTTTCTTACAATATTTTAAGATTTTTATTTTTATTTTTTTACGAGTAAATACTCTTTTTGGTCCTTAACAAAAAATACGATTTTCATTTTAGTCCCTTCCAAAAATAAATTAGTTTCGAGATTCCTAACAAATTCAAAGTGAACCCATTTAGTTGAAATCATGGTACCTCAAACTCAAAAAAAAACCCATATTAGTCCCAAAAAAAAGGACTAAAATAGGTTCACTTTGAATTTCATATAAACTAATCGACTAATTTTTTTTTGTAAAAGACTAAAGTGGGGACCGTATTTTTTATTATGGACCCAAAAAAATATTCTCTTTTTTTATTTTATAATTATGTGAATCTCATTATATCATTATGAGAATAATAGAAGATACTCTCTCCTATTAGTGTAGATTAGTGAATCCCTAACTTTAATGTATTCTAAAATTTCTACCCACACATAAATTTAATAATAAAAAATATTAATTCTAATAAATGTTAATCGCACGCGAAGTATGAGGTGATATTTCCTCTTATCTTTATTCACAGACAGGTCAATTCCACATGTACATTTCCTATTCGTCTTAGATCCAAACAGGCCCCAAAGAACGAGATTATTTATCGTGGTTCGGGATCATCATTTTTTACGTGGTAAGTTAGTGTAAATAAAAAGATAAAGTTGAAAAAGAGGGAAAATAGAAGAGATAAAAATGAAAAGAAAAAATTGATGTTATGAGAGGGAGCACTGATTATTAGGTGGTCTTGGACAACAAAAAATATTTGCAACAAGAACATAATGGAAGATTCTTTTATAATTATGTTGCACCACCGTCCACATAAAATACGGAACACGATATGATAATACAATAACTTTTAAAATATTAAATTATATGTTAATACGTATTTTGATATTAAATAATATTTTTAATAAATATAATATAATTTACATTTAATTTATATAGTAGCCCATAAAAATCATTTAATCAATCAAATATTTAAATTATATAATATAAATATAAAGTAAAAATAATAAAACATTCATAGAATATAGAGTATAGACTACTCAGTACTCACGATATTAACAATCTAAATCCTAAGATACAAACGGTTCCATAATAACATTTGTAATTTGGAAACTTTCTTCTAAGATGTTGTCGACATTAACTCTAGGTTGATCACCTTGAGCTCAGAACAGTAAAAGTATTATCAACCACAATGAACTATTATAATAGCATTATAAAACCTCACCCATACACCAAAATTATAAGCAATATGTAGGCATTTGACGAACAGACACAAATTAAGGTAAAGGTAATATTCACGAATAAAGTAATACCTACATTAAGACCACAAAATATAAGGGTATGCTCAATAGGCAAGATGAAAAATAAGAAATGAAAATTGAGTGGAATTGAAGATTTTAATTTTGGCTTTGCTTGTTAGACGGTGGAAATGGGTGAATAATTGAAAATATACTTTCAACTCCATTTCTTAATATTAAGGAGAAACTGAGAATTTTGAGGTTGGAGTGAAACTATGTTGCACTTCATTTTTCAACACCCCATAATTTCATCGCTAAAAGCAACAACAACAAATATTTATTTTTTTCCAAAACTTTTCACTACCGTATTTTCTACCTACTTATTTTCAGCTAAACCAAGCATGTCTTAAGGCAAGGATATCAATTACTTCGTAGGTGCAAAGATATGAATTCCAAAAGCAAAATTTTTAACTTAAATAATGATATTCCACACACACATTATTCAGGGCCTTATTTACAAATTCCCCAACATAGCCCTCATCACCCACTTCAAATAGAAGAAAAAAAGGGATGAGATATATATATATGTATATATCACATGAGATGAGAGAGAAAGAGAGATCAGAGCACTTACCCATTACCAGAAGGAATCGGCGACAGCAAAGGCAGAGCGAAGAAGGAATAAAGAGAGCAGTGCTATGAACAAAATGGGTCTGGTGAAGTTTTTTTTTTCAAGTTTTTATTAAATACTTTTTATTTTTTAAAAAATTATAATTTTATTAATATATTTTAAAAAAATTTAAATTATAACTTTTTTACGATAATGTCATTTGATCGTGTCTGACACGATCAAATTCTGATTAAATTATAGTTAACGTGTTCCAAAAATTAATCGTGTGTCGAAATATGTCGGACACATGTCTAACACATATTTTTGAGAGAAATTGACGTGTCGGTACTTCGAGCTTTATAAGACATACTTATGAATTTATAGTTTACACATTTCAAACTTATTTCCATATGCGAACAACATATTTAACTAAAAACAATAACTAGATTTAAATATAATTTTATATTTCAAATGGACTTAATTATAATTTTAGAAAGGGTTTGATGTTTCTTATACATGGAGTATAGAATTTATCTTCTACGTACACATTAAAGTATATGGAATCAAGAAAATAGGTTTCATATATTTTTATAGAAAAATATTTCTGCAGTTACTGCAGATAAGTTATTTGCATTTACTTTCAAAATGACGTCGTTTTGATATTGAAAGATGGGGAAGGATATTGTGACAACCAAGTTGTGTTACTACCAAGTGGCTACCAATTAATCTCACCGTTAGATCGATTATGTTGATCCAACGGTTATATTTATTTTCATCTTTGTATGGTCACGATTTTCCAAATTTAATACTTTATATTTATTTCCACCTTTGTATGGTTATGATTTCCCATATTTAATGCTTTCACTTTAAATATGAGAAATCATAACCATACAAAGATGAAAATAAATATAACCATTGGATCAACATAATCGATCTAACAGTGAGATTAATTGGTAGTCACTTGGTAGTAACACAATTTGGTTGTCACAATATCCTTCCCCTTGAAAGATTAAAAAATATTATAAAGACTAATATAACCCTAAAATAAATTAAAATTACAAAAATACTATGATTTTGGACCCAAAACGACGTCGTATTGAGCTTAATTCAGATAATTTATCTGCAGTAACTGCAATAAAAATTAAACCCATATTTTTATATGTATTAAAAATGAAATTATCTCTTAAAATGTAAGCCTAATTAAGCTCTTTTAGAAATGAAAAATAATTGCTGCTTTTTCTAAAATCGAAATTTGCAAATTATAATAGAATTGAATTATTAGCAAAGGAGATCATATCTTATCATTCTCACTAAAATCAAGCTGTGCCTTGCTTACACGTAAACAGTAACATGATAACATGTAAGCATACAAAAAAAGAAAAATATTACTCTTCTTTCACATAAGGTAATTTCTCTCATGTTATTTCACTTCAATTTTCGTACATCAACTTTTTCTTTTTCTTTTTTTTATGCAATGGTGGAACCCACTCATTTTCTTTGTACAACATAAAATAACTATCTTCTGTAAAAAGAGAATAATAAAACCCATAAAAAATTGAAGAAAATAATCAAATTATGTAAAGGATTGGCGTCAAATGGTGAATTATTATTCTCTATACAGTAACATAAATTTTACTTTTTTAAATAATTAAATGTATGTAAACCTTTTTGTTTGTGATTAATATTTCTCATATTATAGGAGATACTTTTATTTTCTTCATATATATAAAAGGGTGTGAGATTTATGTGGAACTATGTGAGAAAAAGAGAGAGAGAAAAAATATATAACATAATTTTATGTGTGTAGGAGATAAATTTATTCTCTAACATTATTCTTTTTTTTATATTAACAATAATATTAATGTTCATGTATAATTTTTGTTTCTTCATATATTAGCTCTACATTATTTCTCTACAAGCGCTAACTCTGCATTCAGCTTGAAAACACGTGTATCTTCTCATACCCATCACCACTTTGTCAAGTAATCACATCAAGCTACTATAGATGAACTTGAAACTTGTGCAGTATACACACCCACATTCATGGCTGGTTCAAGCTCTCTCTTGAGGATGGAGCATATTGATGGCAAAGGAAGAGGTTTAGTTGCAGCACAACCTCTTAAGGCTGGACAAGTAATCCTCAGAGAATCCCCTCTCATTATCTACTCTGCTTCTCCTCTCTTCTCTTCTTCTTTTTCTTCATCCTTCTCTTACTGTGACCACTGCTTCAGAATCATACTATCATCACCCTCAGTTCCATGCCTTTCTTGTTCCCACTTCCATTTCTGCAGCCAGAAGTGCCTCTCTATTGCACTCAAATCCTCACACTCTTCATGGTCATGCCAAGCATTGTCTCTTCTGCATTCAGAACTAGTTCAACAACCCCACGAAAGACAAGTCCAAGCTCGTTTCATTGTTGCTGCTTACAACCTTGCCCTTCACTCCTCTTCTGATCTGCATACTTTGCTTTCTCTCCATGGTACTCCAGATGCTGCCATAGTTGATGCTGCTCAGTTCCTTCATTCTCTAATCTCACCCCTCTTACCACCCCATAGCCAGATTTCTGTTGAACTCACAGCCCAACTTCTTGCAAAGGACAGGCTCAATTCCTTTTGCTTAATGGATCCTTATTCCCCAAATGGTCCTCAAAGATCTATCAAGGCATATGCTATTTATCCAAAAGCTACCTTTTATAACCATGACTGTATTCCCAATGCATGCAGGTTTGATTATGTAGATACTAGTGATCCTGGGGATGAACACAACACTGACATTGTAATCAGGATGATTCAGGATGTTCCTGTTGGAAGAGAGGTTTGCATAAGCTATTTCAGGATCAACAGGCTAGGGATTATTCTACTCGGAAAAGGATCTTGATGGAGGATTATGGGTTCACTTGTGATTGTGATAGGTGCAAGATTGAAAAGAATTGGCATGATGGTCAAAAACAAGGAGGGAACAATGATCTGCCACACGTACGTTTCCTTTCCAAATATGTTTGTGACAGGAAGAATTGTGCAGGCACTATGGCTCCTCTGCCTCCTAAAGATGATGCACCATCTAATGTTCTTGAGTGTAACTTTTGTGGTAATTTGAAAATTTATACTGTTTAGTCTTTAACACCAATGGAATTTTTCAGATTATCTTCTACTTTTCTTTGGAGGACTTGTTTAGGCTGTTCTAGAAATATGATCGCGATTACTCTGTCCTCTAGTCTTGCAGAGGGAAAGTAACATGTTGCAATTCCCCTTTCTTCTTTTTGCCCGTCCTTTCTTTTTTTGGCACCTATCGGGGTTCTAATGTGTTTCGAGGAGTTAACATTGACTAATTTATAATTACTTTCTCAGATTTTATTTTCAAGAAAGTGAATAAAATTAATTCAAAGAAAGAGAACAAAAAAAAGTCACAGCAGTATAAAAAACTTTGACTTTTGTGAAATAAAAGTAGAAGGGAAAAGAAAATATAAGGAAGGTATTTGAAAAATATAATATAAAATTACTTGTAAGTTCATTATTTATGAGATTAAATTTTTAGGTTGAATTAATTTTTTTGTAATGCCCACCCTTCGAGTTTTAAGAGCTCTTGTGTAGGAAAGCGTATTAGAAAAATATAAAATCATTAATATATCTTTATTTAACAGTTTAAGCTTAAGCTATTAGATTGAATTGATTGTTTTATATGATATCAGTATTAGAGTGATCACGGGGTCACGAGTCACTTTCTAATAGAATTAAGCAAACATAAGGTCGAATAATAAAAAATAAACCTGTATAATATTCACAATCTAAGCTGAAGGACTCTTACATGAAGGTACATGTTAAAAAAGATAATATAAAATTAGTGATAACCATCATTGAATTGAATGTTTACATAAGCAAAATTGCCGGTGAATCTTGGATAATCATTTATGGCATGCTGAAGATTTTTTGGGTTGCCGAAAATATTGCTTAGTATTCAAAGATAGTAGTATCATTGCAGGTTTTCTCACACGATATAGCATCCAACTCGTTCCCTTATATTTTGTTGTATTCCAATTACTAACAAGAGATGTTTTTATTTTAAAGATCAATTCCTAACGTTTCATTCATGATAAACTCGACTGAAGTGATGTCCAAGTCCAAACTCATTGAAATTCCTATGCAATTGTGCACGTTTTTGTTATTTCTGTAGTTTATAATTGTGAAATGGAGTCAAATTTTTAGCTTATATATAACACCTGGCCTCAGATTTTCTTAATCACTTAAAGTAAATTCTATAAATCTTGGGTGTTATCTTGAAGCCCATCTTCTATGCTGCTATTTTTTAGTCTTCACAAGCTAGAAGCACTTTGAGTTGTGTACAATGAGGGCTCTTCTGCAGGTTTAGAGATGTGAGAATTCTATCTTGCTGAAAATCTACAAGAGAGGATCCAATGTGTTCATAGTCTAGAGGCTCTTTTGAAACTATTTCAACAATGCGGTTTAAGAAAAATGAAATGAATGGGGTCTACTTCTGGTGTCTTTATATATGTTGATCACCACGTAACCTTTTCCCCTTCGTGATCTGACTTATCAGTTACAGATGGCCTTTGACCTTTTATTAAAAATTAACATCAATCAGTTTTTATTTTACCATTGACTGGTTGATATAATTAATTACATGAGTCATATAATTGATTATATTGCTTAAATTTATCTTAAAATTTTGAAAAGTAATAACTTATTACTTGAGGGTTTGAATTAGGTAATTTTTTTATTTTACATAATTTTTTGAGATCTACACGCTGGAATGATTATTTTTTTAATATTGGAAAGTAAAAATAAGAATAAAAACTAAATAACATCATCTACAAAAATAAAATATGCCAAATAGAATACAAGGAAGCATTTTTTGAAGAAAAAAAAAATTAACCAAGTCCCTCCGTACAAAAATTCGTTTGAAGAATTTATTGGATAATATTATCCACAGAAATAAAAATTGTTTACAACTTCTTACAACCAAATTTTAACCATTGATTTTCCGTGATCTAACGGTTATAATTTATTGGGTCATACTTATTAATTAATTATTAATTTTCAATAAATTATATTCGTCAGATTAGTGAAAATTAACGGTTAAAATTTAGTTGTAAGAGATTATAAGCGAAAAGATGTTGTAAATATAACATTTTTCTTTTTATTTATGTTTTAATTTTTTAAATTATATGTATATCTTTTTTCAAGCTACTCATAATAAATTATAAAATGAATGAAATTTCATAAAAAAAATAAAATAATTTAACTAAATAAAAAATTTGCTTCAAATATGCATAAGCAAAATAAAGTACTAATAATATATAAATATAATGTAATTATGATTTCTTGTAATACCGTATTAGGTAATTACAGCTTACTATATATATATGTGTGTGTAGTAGTTATATATAAACTAGTAATTACTCATTCGTTTGTGCAATAAAATTCAATTAAAAAGAAATTATACATGTATAAAAAAAAACTATAGAACATTATTTAAAGCTTTTTGAATAAAAGAAAATGAAAAGAATCATAAATACAGTATAGTTTTACTTAGATTAATTACAATAAAGATATCTAACTATATAACTACTTAACTATATTTTATATTTAAGAGGTAAATCCAAATTTAAAAAATTAAAGATAAAGATTAAAATTTTAAGATAATTAAATAAATGACTTAAAGATTTTTGCTAACAATGAAATGACATCTGTTCTAGCTTGGTTTCCATTGTAAAAATATATTTAATAAAATAAAAAATGGAGAATACTAATCTCCAAAAAGACTATGAATCCACTTATTTTATTTATTTATTTTATTTTAAAAGAAAAAGCCTCACATGCTTTATGTCTATGATATAAAATATTAGTCTCCCAAACCATAGACTAGTATTTCCATAAAAAATAGTGTAAGAATTTTATAAGGAAATAAAAAATAAAGTCGGTAGAAAAACTCATTACGAACACTAACACCGCCTTTCTACCTCGAAATGCTACTACGAATTGAGACATTAATAAGCCAACAACTACTGTGCACTTCTCATTTATAGCCCCTGCACACAGGAGCCATGATAGCACCACTTCACTGCCACGTTGTGCATCTAAATTCCAATGAAAAACACCATTTGCCCCTCTGTTCCACACTTCGGTCATTAGTTCCAAGACCCGGGATTCAGTCTTACATCTAACCTGATACAATCAAGCTGTGTCATTTCAGTTACTACCACCTCACTACAAAGCACCACAACATGTACATTACGTTATGGTTGATCCCAAGTCCCAAATGCTATGTTAAAGAATGTTAAAGTCATTCATTCAACCATCCATGCAATAATTAACCATACATGTGTCTAACATTCATGGGACCCAATCATAGGAAGACAAGAGTCAAACTAAATATCATTTCAGTACAATAAAGGAAAAACGAAATCACAGTTAAATATTACAGGTTTCCTTGTAAGGAAAGCTAACTCCTTAAGTATATAAGAGAACAACACATTTGAAGCTTAGAAATTAAACCATGATTCCCTCAGGTATCTGGATGCTATGGGTGAAAACTGTATCACTGCCTGAGGACTTATATTTTCATAGTCTGAAGGAGAAACAAAGGGTGGGGGACCATGAGGTGATTCTAAATGCTTGCTTCGGGTGGATGCTGACATTTCATATAACAAAAACACTCCTTGCAAGCATTATAAAGAACCATTGGAATCAACATTGACATCTGGGTTGCAGTTAAAATCCTTGTTGGGCCTATACTCAATGGCAGATGAACCTAAATCCTTCTTCCAGTGCCAGTCACTGAAGAGAGACTGAGGAGACTGATATTCCTGTTTCAAACCCCCTGCTGAACTTAACTGACCACTGAAGACAAGCTCCTTGGACCTTGCAGCGTCGAGGTTCAACAGCTCAGCATCTCGCATTGTTCGCTGTTGGAAGCAGTTGCCAACCATGGTAGAAGCACTCCTTGATTCTGAAACAGTGTTTGACGGAACCTGAGACAAATGAGACCACATGCTATCTGAGGTAAAGTCATAACCTTGATATCTCACACTTCCCAGATCTTTCTGTAAGGCGTTTTGCTCATCTGCTTCGGAGTCCAGTCCAAACCTATGGAGTGTTTAGTGAACATCATGATGCTCCATTTATTTCAAATATGCATAATAGGAAATTCCCAACAATTTAGAAAAGTATAGAAGAAAAAATTATGAAAGGCTACAAATGGATCCAAATGTTTAGTTAGAGGCTGGGGTCACTGAGGCCAGGAATCTCTAATTGAAGTGAATCACTAAGGCTCCGTCCAGAAGAAAATGTTGCTACACTCTGCATAAGGTAAGTCAGATGCTCCCTTATTCCATTTTTATAAAAGTAAATTAATATCTTCCATACCTCAAATCCCACAAGTTCCTTATAAAGAGTAAAATCACATACGTTAAATTACCAAAATCCAACTCTCGCCATTATGTTCCCTCACATGTTTGCTACACCTATTTTTTTTTTAACTTAAAAAAAAGTGTCACTTTCAACGTTGACACACTAAAAAAGAAAAAAGCAATTATGGCAAGGCTACATAAGAATTGTTCAGTCTGTTCCATCTCAAAGTAATAAGAAAGAAAAACAATAATGAGAAGAAGAACTGAAGAGAGATATCGAAGGAAAATGAAAGATTTCATGACAGCTAACCAATGTCCCAAAATTGAAAAATCATATTACCAGACAACTAGAAAGAAAAAGAACATATATTCACAACTTCCTTCAACAACCTATCCTATGTCACGACTCATGATCTCAAATCAATGAACCACAATTTCTGGATGATCATTAACTATCCATAACTAGTTCGATGCATGATTGACCAACATGAAATTACCTCTCCTTATTTGCTTTAACTGTATCAAACATTAACATTAGTGCTCCTACTATTACTTCAGTTTGCTAATACGCAGTCCATGGTGAGTTCCTTGATTTCTAATTTCATCAAATCATACCCTGATACTTCATCACCCTCTGACAAGGTAGCTCCACGCCCTATGCTTCTTACAATGTTTTAAATATTTGTGAAAAGCATTTATACAAAATATTTTAGTAAGTAAACCTGGAGTACCAAGTCATGATCTCAAATGAACAACAAGGGGACAATTCAGGTTACAAGAAAATAAAAAATAAAACACTATTAACGAAGCATGGTGAAGTTGTTTGCCGTTATTAGGGGGCAATGTTGAAAAAAAATAAAATTTAAAGCTTTGAACGCGCTGAAAATTTGACACAGTGCTAGGTTGAATTTGTGAAGATCATGGCTCATCAGTACTGCATTCTTTCAAATACACACAAATCAAGTGGAATAAAATACAAGTCTAACTCGAAAACTATGGCCAGATTACTTCCATCTTACTCTCATGCCACACAATATAAGAATCCACATGTTAGGTAACTTAGCATCACAGCTACCATATTTGCTTAACAACATAATAATATACTATCTGTTGCAGGAGAAAGGGGGGGGGAATATGGCAACCATTGCCGCAACCTCAAAAGTCAAACGCCTTAAGATATGCTCCATTCACACATGACATACAAGTAGCTAAAAAATAAAAAGTGTTACCAATTCAGGACAATCCCAGAAATGGTTCAATGAATCAATTTATAGAAAAAAAATGAATCATATGGATGAAAAACATACCTGTAAGCTTTCTTGCTACCCTCACCGGAAAGAGGCAGTGTGTTCATGTGAAGGTGGGGTAGTGTGTTGGTGGTATTCCCAAGTGTGAAAGTGAAACCTTCACGAGTACCATCGGTGTGCAAGGGGAGAGTGTGGAAGGTTCCAGTTGCAGAAGCAGAGGCAGTAGTTGTGCTTCCAGTTGTGGCATCAAGGGGAGAAGATGAAGAAGAAGAAGGAGAAGGTTGAGGTTGAGATTCCACAGGCTTTCTTGAACGGTAACGACGTCGTATCATGTGGCGGTCACAATACTTGGAGTCAGGGTGAGCATCCCTTGAGCACCTCCACTTCTTCCCATCGGTTCTTCTGCACCTACCAGGTTCTGGGTCTATCTTCTTCCCATAATAACCCACTGCAAACACCAAAAAGGAATCAACTTTAACTTGCAAAAGAACAATAGAGATAAATATAGAGAAGGGTTGAAGTTGGGGTAGCTTACAAGATGGGTGGTGGTGGTGGTGGTGGTGAGACATCAATTGTAGGCTTTTCCGAATGGGTACGAGGAGGTCTGGGGGAACCGACAAACCAGCCTTGAGGTACTTGAAGATGAGAGCTTGGTGCTCCAGCTCCTGCCACTGCGCCATCGTGAACGGCGGCTGAGTCGCCGTCCACATCACCGGCGGCGGAGGAACGCTCATGTTGTTTTGGTTTGGTGAGTTTATGGGCTATGTTATTCAGAAGAAAAAGAAAAGGGGTTGAATCTGGGAGTAGGAGAGAGAGAAAATTGCATTAGAGAGAGAAGCATAGATAGAGAAGAATAAGAAGAGGTTAGGTTACCTCGGAGAAAACCAGGTCAGCCATCATTGGCAATGGTAATAGGTTAAGGGATTAACAAAAACAAGTGCTGAGGACTGAGGAGTGAGGAGGTTCTATATTATTATTATTTATTTATTTATTTATTTAGTTTTAATAATCTGATGTTGGTAGATAGAACAGTAAAACAAGAAGCATGAGGGTTTTGTTTGGATGAGGACCCCTTTTGTCTTTTTCCTTTTTACTTGGTAGCTGGTCGTAATTGACTCTCGTTTTTTGAATTCTTTTACCAAAATTGCCAGCTGCCTCCATCTTCTATATTTCACATTGCTTACGTGTGTGTGTAATAAAATACAATAAAATTAATTATAATTAAATATTAAATGATTTGTATATAAATGTCTATTAATAAAATCATTACTCTTGTATGGTTGTGCTGAACTGGTCATTTTCACTTGTTTTAGTAGATCTACTTCAATGTGCAATGATAAGATCAGATTAATTTAGATAATCCGCTCTTCGTTTATAAAATATATATAGATATTGTATTCCGAAATTCAATTTTATGAGAAGATAAATCTAATTTTTCGGTACCATTAAACGTCATGCTACATCATTACCATATTAGAGCTTGTCATGAAATTTTTAAGAAAATTCAGTTAAAATTAAAATAAACTTGAATCTAAAATATATAAATAAATATTATTTTATCTTTAAATTTTATAAAACTAATACTTTAATTTAATTTTAATTAAAACAGGTTGAATATATCTTTATTTTCTGATTATAAGAATAATTTGTTTTAAGTTTCATAATAATATTTCTGCAGTTACTGCAAATAAGTTATTTGCATTTACTTTCAAAACGACGTCGTTTTGGGATTGAAAAACTAAACAATTATAATTATAAAGATTATAATAACTCTGAAATAAATTAAAATTATAAAAACACTATGATTTTTGTCCCAAAATGATGTCGTATTAGGTTTACTGCAAATAACTTATCTGCAGTAACTACAGAAAAAGCGAACCCTTTAAGTTTATGGATTTAATGTTTCTAAAGTGAATATAGATAAGTTATCTACATTCGTTCCAAAAATGATGTTATTTTTGGTTGAAAAATTAAAAAATTATAATGAAAAAACTATTATAATCCTGAAATAAATTATAATTATAAAAATACTTTGATTTCTGCCTTAAATGATATCATTTTAGATTCAATATAGATAAGTTATCTACATTAACCGTAGAAAAAACGAACACTGAGTTTATTCATTAAATTTCAATAAAAAAATATAAATTTACCTAATACTTGTAGTCACGTGCAGGTCAAAAGTTTTAGGTTGAAAGAGTTTAATATTGATTTTATTTTAGCGCGGAAGTTAAAATTAAATTTTATAAGAATTTCTCATGTATGTTAAATTGAAATTTATAAAAATGTTGAAGAAATACTTTTAGCCTTGAGAAACCGTGGCCTCCGTCGACCCCTTGTGAGTTGTGACTCTGTCACTAGTAACAGACAACAAGTCACCATGACATTAAAAAAAAAAAATTGGTTATCATATAACTTATAAAAAAAATAATGTTCTTATTTGGATTTGTTCTTTAACATCGTACAAGTCACCATGACATTACTTGTTCTTACAATGGAAACAGTGATAACGAACTAACCACACACCATCGATATTTTTATACATAAAAGCACTAGTCTGCAAATAAAAAATTGAAATGCATCAGTTTTAAAAATTAATTAGAGATAATGTTAACAAAATTAACAACTGGATTGTTTTGCGGTCTTTTGTCCTTATTATGTACCCAAAAAGAAAAAAGAAAATTAACAACTTGAATTTAATAAAAAAAATTAATATCTTGATAAGTTTGAGTTACAATGAAATTAAATAATCATATTTATAAATTATCAAAGTGAGGAAACCAATAGCTGCGAGCATAAGAAAACATGTTAATCAAGCATAAAGACTTCAAAATTAAGAATTTCAATCTTGTAAGAAAAATAATTCATATATATGTTATAGTTTAACTGAAATTATAATACTCATAAGCGACTTGTGCTAACATAACAAAATAAAAAGAAGAAATAATTAACCAAATATGACACTAATTTAAAATTTTAAAATTTGAACTTAAAAAGAGAAAATAAAAAATAAAAATATGATAATGCTATCCTGAATGATCTGACAGTAGTTTTCCATTTATTTCCAACAGCTACATTTAAGCCTGAATTCGGATTTTCTATGGTCATATTATAACTAGAGATCATCTCTCTTTGATTTATTTATTTTTTATAAAAATAATTCTCCCGTCAATGAACAAATTGTTCGCGGGAAGTAGATTTGAGAAAGGAAGATGTTTTGTTTTTAAACAACCAAAGTTATCTACTTTCACCTTTTTATAATTATATATTATGAGGAATATATATTTATAATATTAAATTTTTTATTTTTACGTCAACCGACAATTTCTCAAGAGAAAAAATATATAATTTTAATATTATAAATATGTACTTTTCGATATACATAGTTATAAAGGGTTACGTCCTTTAAAAGGACAAATTATTTTTCCTTCAAAAAAAGTGTTTAGTTTTTCTTATATTACATTAAATAATTTTATCTCCTACACCTGCATAAAAATATACGAGACTTATTTTTTTCTCTCTTTTTTTTCACATGATTTCACATGGACATCACATACTTGTATGTATGTATAATAGATAAAATTAATTCTTATAATATGAAAAATATTAATCTTTTAAAAATATACCGTTGCTCTAAGTATCGGTATGATACGTATATAATTGTTTCATTTGTCGCACAACGAGTGCACTGCTATCGGTAACATGTAACGAGGGCCTATGTTTAAATCAAGGGTTTTATTAATGTTATGTGACATGATATAAGTGGGTTTTCAAACACACACAATAATAGAGAGAGAAAAGTGAAATAATAAAAGAGAAAGAAAAACATGTGGACCCCACCTCTTTAATGTGTATGTAGGAAAGTGAAGTTATGTTATGTAAAATAATAAACATAAAACCCTTAAATCAAACTCGATTCAACACATTATTATCAGGGAAAACTTATTCTCGAGAATAATTTTCTTTCTTATAAACTCATCCATTTTTATGTTGTTCTTTTTTCTTATGTGAGTGGGCTTCACTCAATGGCGAAGCTATTTGGACGTTTCTGTCCACAAGTGCGGACATAAATCCCTTGAATTTTTTTTATTTTTTTTAAATATAGTAGTGAAGTATGATGTTAGTTAGATTAGACTTTACTTTGACATGTAATGAGGGATGCAATGGAAATGAATGGAATACGGTAAGATGGAATGGGATATGGGATGCCATATATTTTATGATGTCATACAACAAATCAGTTTGATTAAAAATAAAAAGTGTTGGGAATAATTTTTTATGTTAAGTTTAAGTTTTTTTTTATTTGTATATTTTTTAATGCATTTAAAATTTTCTTTAAAAAAAAATTCGGAGCCAATGCCCCCAAACCCCTGCCACTGAATATATGGACAAAAATAATATTTTCTGGATCTGCCACTGACTTCACCCATGTGATTATATCTATGGTCTCATATAAGGTGATATAATAAAGCCCTTCTTATTATTATTTTGCTTAAACTTTATTCACTTCTGACTCTTGAATTGTTAAAGTATAATACAATAATATTGAGTTTTTATTAATTAAAAATTTTAAGTTAAGTAAGTTAAACTTAAATTTATAATTTTGTAAAATCTATATTTTTATAGACATTGTGTTTAAAAAATAATTGACAATATATATTAAATTAAAATATTGTTATTCTTGAAAAGTTATACATTTATATATCAAGATACCTCATCAGTCATCACGAGTTGACTCAACTTATCTTTCTGGCATAGGTGATATAGTTAGAAAATTAATATTAACGTGTGATAGACCGGTAGTTTACACCTAGGGGTGTTATGAGCCGAGTTTTGATTTTAACGGGTCGAACCTGTGTTTAAATGTGTCAGACTGTTTGTAGTATGTTACTTGTTACGAATATAATATCAGCCTGTGGCCTGATTCATTTACAAGAAATAAAAGTCTTGTTTAGCATGTTAGCCTATTTAAAAAAAATAAGACAATAAAAATTTATCCAAACAAAATATACAATCAACAGCACTAGTAATTCCATAAATATTCATAAATTTAATGTATATCCAAATGGGATAGGTTATTTTGCCTACTTTTGCCTACCCCTTTCTTTACCGTTCGATTACAATTTATCCAATGGTTCATATTTGCGAAATAAAATAAACTATTTTTCCCTTTCTTTTTTCTCACTTTCTCCCACACTCTTTCTCTCTCCTCCCCTTTTCTCTTCCTCTAAGCTATACCTATTTTTTTTTCCCGTATCGCTGATGTCTGCCGCCCAGGTGAACGAGCAAATGTAGCTATGAATCATTTAGTTTTGATATCCTTTTTGGTTTTCCCTGTATGCCTCATAAAATTAAAGGATTGGAGACGAATTGGGTCGCTGAGTTTTATTGCCTTAAGGAAGACTGAGTCGACAAGTTGATTGCTAAGTTATAACTGTTATTACACAAAACTTGAAGCAATAAAATAAAGATTCAAATCGTAAGTAGCTACAGAACACCATCAAATATCAAATATCCCTGATAATGAAATCCACCATGAAATATCAAGTTTGGGTTCGTTGATCTAAATTTTATATCTTTATTTCTTTTTAATTCCCCCTATATCGATATGTTGGACTTGACCGGCAAGTGTTGGAGAATCCATAGTGGAATTCTTGCTATTCAATTCAATATGAACGCTAATTGGTTTCGAAGCATCTATAACACCGGGGAAAAAATTAGGTATAGCATAGAGGAAGAGAGTAAGAGGAGGAGAGAGAAATGGTGTGAGAGAAAACGAGGAGAAAGAATCGGGAAAAATGGTTTATTTTATTTTGCAAATATGAACCATTGGATTAGATTGTAATCGAACGGTAATGAAAGGGGTAGGCAAAGGTAGGTAAAATAGAAGTAGGCAAAATAACCTATCTCATATCCAAATAGCATAATA